TCTCATTGGGTGGCCAAAGGATTTGAGCTTCAGTTTCATTATCTGGCCTTCCAGGGAACAGTTACGGTTGATTTCTTTGAGGATTGACTGATTTGATCTCCTTGCAGTCCAAGGGACTCTCAAGAGTCTTCTCCAGCACCATAGTTCAAAAGAATCTATTCTTCGGCACTCAGCCTTCCTTATAGTCCAACTCTCAGCCATGCAGTACTACTGGGAATACCATCACTTTGACTGTGTGGACTTTTGTCGGCAGGGCGATGTCTCTGCTTTTTATTATGCTGTCTAGGTTTGCCATCGCTTTCCTCCCAAGGAGCAGGCGTCTTTTAATTTCATGGCTGCAGTCACCGTCTGCAGTGATCTTAGATCCCAGGAATGTGAAGTCTGTCACTGCTTCCACGACTTCCTCTTCTATTTGCCAAGGAGTGATGGGGCAAGGTGCCATGATCTTCGGGTTTTTTAATGTTGAGTTTCAAGCCAACTTTTGTGCTTTCCTCTTTCACCCTGAGCAAGAGGCTCTTTAGGTCCTCTTCACTTTCTGCCATTAGCATAGTTTGTTACACTGTGTGTAAAGATGCCTGGGAAACCGGAAGGGATACAGTTTCAGGTGTGTTGGTCTGCAGCGAAAGAGCAAGATTCCAGTCCAGTAGCACCTTAGAGATGAGATTTGGGGGGTATAAGCTCTCAAGAGTCAAAGCTTACTTCGTCAGATAGAAGTAGGAATGGCGATCCCTGCATCCTGGTATCTTCCAGCCAGAAGGTGGGAGGGGTGTGTCAAAGAAGGGAGTTGAGGTGCAAAGGTACAATGCAAACTGGAATCAGCTTGATTAGAGGAGGGGAGAAATGCTTAGGGGCAGGAAATTAGCGTCTGTAGTGAGATAGGAATCCGCTATCCCTATTTAGCCCTGGGTGATCCACTGTTATGAATTGTGAATTAACTCAAGCTCATCAGTCTCCCCTCTCACATTGCAGTTTCATTGATACATGAATATGTGAGGCATGGATATGTTAGTCACTTTCTCCCCCATATAAAGGCATTCATATCTGACAAATAGAAAGGATCCGAAGGAGCAGGTGTTTGGAAATACCTTTCTGGGAGAGTCTGACGGGTAGATCATATTTCTATATTTACTTAAAACATTTGAATGCTGCCTTTCCAAGGCAGTGAGTCTAAAGAAACATTAAAACATTTGAACAATTTAAAAAGCCTTCGACAACATAATTTAAAAAGGCATTAAAAATTATAAAACAATTCAATTACAAATACATGAACAGCACTAGAAGGAAGGCCAGTAACTGTTATTGGCGGTGTGTCAGATAAAAGAAAAAAGTCTTCAACAGCTGACAAAAGGCACCAATAGCTGGAAAACCAAAGAGAGTCCCACCGTTAACAGTTGGTATTTTAAAATTTGGGACCATTCAATAGTGTACAAAATATCCGACACAATATCTAGCCCCGACCACCTATCAAGTTCTTTGGACTATTTCAAAAGATGGTTTCCGATACTGGAAAAACTAGATGACATTCTTGGAAACAAGGGTCTTCTAGGTATCGATATCACAGTCTTTTGAAAATCAGTTGGTTGGTTTTAATTTTTGGAATGAAACCTGGAAGTTTATCAGACAATATTTATATATATATTTTATAAACTGTTAGGATACTGCAATATTTAATAAGTATCAATGCTGGATATTTAGTCTATGTAAACTGATGTTGTTAAAAGCTGTTTGTTTGTTTTTGGAAAATGAAAAATATATTTAAAAAAGATACCAGTAGATGGCGACAAAGGGCATTCCAAAGTTTTGGTGCCACAACAGTGAAGGCCCTTTTGGGGGGTTGCCACCCATCCAGCCTCAGATGGCGGGGGCAACTGAAGCAGTGCCCCCAAAGATGACCAAAGTGTAGGTAATGTTTCTGGTGGTCGGATCCAGTATAAGGCAGCTTCGTATGTTCTATGCTCCTGCAGCGTGCAGGGGGTTGGACTAGATGACCTGCAAGGTCCCTTCCAACTCTAACATTCTGTGATTCTATGATTCTGTTATAGGAGAGGGGCCGTAGCTCAGAGAGAGAGTGTCTGCTTTGGATACAGAAGGCCCCTGAAATATGTGGCTCTTTGAGCCTAGAACACATCTCTCCAAGCCGCATTCTCTGTAATAGTAAGACGACCGTAGGAGCACACGGCAGCTCTTTCACCAGGCCCCAACTGTCTCAGTATACGAGCGGCTTTATTGTGAGTGCAACAGCCTGGAAACCTGCTTGTCATAATAGCCTTCTGTGAATCACTTTTTAAACGGTGAGCACGTTCACTCTCCTGCATCGCCGCGGGAAAAGGCTTCTTAGCCTTCCTTCCATAGAAAGACACGCAGTTAGATAACTGGGCCAGAACTTGCTGACAGATGCTTTTACTGGGTGCTTGCAAAGAAGGCGAGCTCCCAGAGGTAGATTTGTTAAGTGGAGTCTTCACTTGAAAACGCCCAATTACCTCAATGGAGAGAAGGACAAGGTAGAACCCCGTCGGCTCTGCAGACAACATGTTAAGTATCAAAATGACATCAGAAGAACATCAGAAGAGCCCTGCTGGATCAGACCAGTGAGGGTCCATCTAGTCCAGCTTCCTGTCTCACCCAGTGGCCAGTCAGTTCCTCTGGAGGGCCAGCAACAGGGCACAGAGGCCGAAGCCTTCCCCTGATAAGAACATCAGAAGAGCCCTGCTGGATCAGACCAGTGAGGGTCCATCTAGTCCAGCTTCCTGTCTTACCCAGTGGCCAGGCAGTTCCTCTGGAGGGCCAGCAACAGGGTATAGAGGCTGAGGCCTTCCCCTGATAAGGACAGCCCTGCTGGATCAGACTAGTGGCCCATCTAGTCCAGCATCCCATCTCACACAGTGGTCAGTCAGTTCCTCTGGAGGACTAACAACAGGGCACAGAGGCCGACTAGAACTCTTCTGATGTTCTTATAAGGGGAAGGTCTCAGCCTCTGTGCCCTGTTGTTGAACATCCAGAGGAACTGAGTGGCCACTGCTTGAAACAGGATGCTGGACTAGATGGATCCTCACTGGTCTGATCCAACAGGGTTCATCTTGTGTTCTTATCAGGGGAAGGCCTCGGCCTCTGTGCCCTGTTGTTGAACATCCAGAGGAACTGAGTGGCCACTGCTTGAAACAGGATGCTGGACTGGATGGACCCCTGGTCTGATCCAGCAGGGCTCCTCTTAAGTTCTTATGAGGGGAAGGTCTCAGCCTCTGTGCCCTGTTGTTGGCCCTCCGGAGGAACTGGCTGGCTACTGTGTGAGACAGGATGCTGGACTGGATGGACCCCTGGTCTGATCCAGCAGGGCTCCTCTTAAGTTCTTATGAGGGGAAGGTCTCAGCCTCTGTGCCCTGTTGTTGGCCCTCCGGAGGAACTGGCTGGCTACTGTGTGAGACAGGATGCTGGACTGGATGGACCCCTGGTCTGATCCAGCAGGGCTCCTCTTAAGTTCTTATGAGGGGAAGGTCTCAGCCTCTGTGCCCTGTTGTTGGCCCTCCGGAGGAACTGGCTGGCTACTGTGTGAGACAGGATGCTGGACTGGATGGACCCCTGGTCTGATCCAGCAGGGCTCTTCTTAGGTTCTTAAGGGAAGCTGGGATCCCTGGTCCTCTCAAGTGGTTAATTCCTTCAAATTAAGTTCTTATGAGGGGAAGGCCTTGGCCTCTATGCCCTGTTGTTGGCCCTCCAGAGGAACTGGTTGGCCACTGTGTGAGACAGGATGCTGGACTAGGCGGACCGGTGGTCTTATCCAGCAGGGCTCTTTTTAGGTTCTTAAGGGAAGCTGGGATCCCTGGTCCTCTCAATTGGGTAATTCCTCCAAAGGCCAGTTGGTGGCAGCAGTACCAAAAGAGGGAGAGAAACCCCCTCTGAGGATCAGGACTCAGAGAGTGGGAAGAGTGGCATGCCACTCAGTCGAGCCTCCGATGGCCATTGGTATCCAGATGCCTCGGAGGGCAGGACGGAGCGATGCTCATGGGCCATCAGGGCTGTTCCGCCGCAGTCTTCCTTTGTGCCCCTCTTGTTGTCTCTACTCCAATCTGAGTAAGAATTCTGAACTCGACTGAACTCTGGTTAGGGGATGGCGGTGGGTGGGATTGCCAGATCCAGGTTGGGAAACTCCTGGATATTTGGGGGTGGACCCTGGGGAGGACAGGGAACTCCGTGAAGAAGAAGAGAGGATTGGATTTATTCCCCCGCCCAGTGTTCTCTCTAAGCTGTGGAGTCTTGTGTGCAAAACTTCTACTTTGTGAGCAACTGGCATTAAAGCTGTGAGCCAGCGATCTGGCTGCTGCATAAATTAGTTTGCTCTGGATCCGTCCTTCCTGAGCTAAGACAAAGATCTGTGCGCTGGAGGCTAAAAAACTGTGAGCTAGCTCACACTAACTCAGCTTAGAGGGAACACTGCCCCCCGCCCTTCACTCGGAGCCTCAGAGCGGCTTACAAACTCCTTTCCCTTCCCCTCCCCACAACAGACACCCTGTGAGGTAGGTGGGGCCGAGAGAGCTCTCTCGAGGACTGCTCGTGAGAGAACTGCTCTGAGAGAACTTGTGACTGACCCAAGATCACACCAGCCGCTGCAAGTGGAGAAGTGGGGAATCAAACCCGGTTCAATGCTGAGTCCACCCACCACCCCACCCCAAAAAAGCATCCATTTTCTCCAGGGGCACTGCTCTCTGTAGTCGGGAGATGAACTGTAATCCCAGGGGGTCCCCAGGTCCCACCTGGAGGCTGGCGTCCCCACGCTGGGTGGTTCTTCTGTCCCCGGTGACGGGAACGGTGCACCTGCACAACTCCCTCCACCCCCTTTCAGTGAACGGAACGCTAAAGGGTTAGAGTAGACTGTGGTTGGATCCCGCTGTGGTTTAAAAGAGGAGGGGGAAACTATCGGAAGGTTGGGGGAAAGTTCCGCTCGGGGGAAGCGGCTCGGGAATCGTTTCTCTCCCCCAACTCACGGCCTCGTCTTCTCCCCTCAGGTCCGTTCCGCCGCCAGGAAAAGATGGCACCGTTGGCAGGACCACCACTCCCTGAGGGTCCGAGTCGCCCGCGCCATGTCGATCCCGACCTCCCCCACCCGGATCAGCTTTCATAGTATAAAACAGTCGGCGGCCGTGTGACCACCAGCTGCTCAGGGGATCCCGTCCTCCCCCCGCCCGTCCTCTCTCTCCCTTCCTCCTGTCTGTCTCTTCTCTTCTTCTCTCCCCCCGTCTCTTTTATTTCCGTTTTCTCCTCCTTCCTTTTCCCTTCCTCCTTTCCCCCTCTCATTCCTTCCCTCACTCCTACTATCTTTGTTTCTTCTCTCTTCCCTTTTTTTTTTTTTAAAGTTTCACTAAGAGGCAGCTCTCGTGTCTCTGCGGACAGCTTTCTGTCTCGACTCGACGCCGCTTTGGAGACAGGCGGCCACAAGAAAACAGAGAAGTCAGAGTGAAGAAAGGGAGCAAAGTTATCACAGAAGAGCATCAAGAGGGGAGGGGAGGAAGGTGTCCTTTCCCGCCCGAAATCTTCCCACATTCCCAGAATTCTAAGCATGCACCTGGAAACAACTAATTGGGAAATGCACTCCGGCAAGGTGGGGACAATGCAGTCTCGTTCCTTCCATTTCCTTACCGTGATCTGATTGGACCATTTCCAAAGGCCCCTCGGTTTGACTCCACGTCATTTCAGTTTGCGGTGTAATTTTTGTCTTTGAGTCGGGGTTTTCCGAAACGATGCGGTTTTTAGTAGGTGATATAACAGCATCAGGAGAAGACCCCGATGCTGGGAAAGTTTGATGGTCAAAGAAGACAGGGACAGCAAAGGATGAGATGGTTAGACAGTGTCATTGATGCAACGAACATGAAATTGAGCCAACTTCAGAGGACAGCGGAAGACAGGAGGGCCTGGCGTGATCTGGTCCATGGGGTCGCAAAGAGTCGGACTCGACTGTGCGACTGAACAACAACAACAACAACATAACTGCACGACCCTGACCTGGACGGCCCAGGCGAGCCCAATCTCATCAGAAGCGAAGCAGGATTAGCATTTGGAGGGGAGATCAACAAGGAAGTCCAGGGTCATTCTGCAGAGGCAGGCAATGGCAAACCACCTCTGAACATCTCTTGCCTTGAAAACCCTTCGGGGTTGACATAAGCCGGCTGCAACTTGATGGCAATTTATAGATATGCACACGCATATTAGCACTGGATGGCCCAGGATGGCCCGATCTTGTCGGATCCTGGAAGCTAAGCAGGGTCGGCCCTGGTTAGTATTTGGATGGGAGACCACCAAGGGAGTCCAGGGTTGCAACGCAGAGGCAGGGAATGGCAAACCCGATCACATCAGATCTTGGAAAGAGATTGGATTTATACCCCGCCCTTCACTACCCAAAAGAGTCTCAGAGGGGCTTACAAACTCCTTTCCCTTCCCCTCCCCACAACAGACACCCTGTGAGGTAGGCGGGGCTGAGAGAGCTCTTGACAGAAACTGCTCTTTTTCAAGGACAGCTCTTATCAGAGCTACGGCTTGCCCAAGGTCATCCAGCCAAGTGCCAGTAGAGGAGCGGGGAATCAAACCCG